AATGGGACGAATTTGTCGATGAATTCATTGTCGGCTGTACTCAAGAATACGCCGTGTTTGCAAGAATTGCACCTGTCTGACAACAAGCTCGATTTATGCACGGATGACGAGACTGTCTTGAACGAGTCGGTGAAAACGATCCACATGAATAGGTGCGTGGAATTTTTCTTGCCATGTGATTGTTCTCTCGTCAAAGTCTCCGTCAGTCACACACGCTGCTGTGATGTTGCAGGTGTCGCATAGACGATTGGGGGTCAATTGTTCGTTTGATGCGGAGGTTTCCCAACCGAAAAACAGTGTTCTTATGCGAAAATCCAATAAAATCCGTCGTCTACGACACTTCTGCAGAAGACTTGAATACTTTGCAGGCTTTGAATTTAGGCAAGGTCGGTACTCTTCTTTAATAGTGTACTTTTTTTTAAAATCTGGCCAAGCTATGTCGAAACACGTATGCTATCAGTAAAAATGTTATCACGTGCCTCGGCCAGATCGTTTCATATACCGTAAGCAAACACTGCTATGACTCTTCTAGACGGAAATCGCTGACTGGGAGAGTATTGACAGCCTGGACCGGCTGCCATCGCTTATAGACCTGCGAATCCTCTCAATACCACTTTTGGAACCGCTTAACGAAGAGGAACGAATACATCTGGTTATTGGACGAATTCAGAATATACGTGTGCTGAACGGCTCTATAATAACTCCCGAACAACGGGAGCAGTCGGAGCGATACTTCATTCGTTATTACCAGGTCTGCCTTTGTCTCGTTCGACCTCCATGTGGTTCGTTTAGCCGTCTTTTGTCATGCCGCCGTGTTCTCTAGACATTTGCAGGAGAGGGACGACAAGCCACATCATTACAAGCGTTTGATAGATAAGCATGGTCATGTGGAGAAGCTGGCAAAGGTCGACCTCACGCCGAAGTCCTCAGCCCACGTGCAGGTTTTTTGTGAGGAAACGAACTACCAAGCGAAACTGCGAATCAACCTGAACAAGAATGTTGGTCAGTTGATGAAGTAAGTGGCCGCTTAACAACCTTTGACAAATCGTCAACCTCGACCCACTTGCTCCTCATTTTATCGATGTTGTTGGCTCATAACGGCCATCGGTCATTGTTTGTGTTAGCATTCCCTCTTTGTGCACGAATTCAGAACAGAACCTGATCGGCCAATGGCGCAGGGGACCATCAAAGCGCAACCTCTGTGCATGTGTGCTGGTAGCGCGAAAACTTCCACAGTAATTACGCGAACTGTTAGTATTGTATACCTGCATCTTTGATATCCGAGCTAGTACAAGCATCTGCAAAAATCAGTTTGTTTCTGCAAGCTTGCTTGGAACTGATTACTTCTGGCATGACCTGGTGGAAATGTGTGTATGAATTTGTCGTTACCCCTTATCACCTTCACAAACATTCGCTGGGTTCGGTTATGGTGCCCGAACCCAAGCTGTGAGTACTCAGTAATCGAAAAGTAGCAAGTGATTGCAACTGCTTCATCGTCGTGATATGTATCCTCAGCTTTGATAAGTGCAATATGTTTTCTTACCTGCCTTAACAAGCCAAAGATTCAACCTACTGCATTATGCAAATACGTAAAAACATAAATTTCATATCGGCTACGCGGCTTGTGCTTATGACCACATGATCAGATTCTGAGATAATTTGGTCCTAGCGAAATACAAGGGAATTGTAGACTATTAGCACATCAGGGCTAGAGAGGGATTTGGGTTTAGCTAAGTCGGAGGACTTCTTTAGGGATTCGCTTACACACATTTTCTAAAAGGCTCTAATTGAATTGTGCCTTCTGGTCGAATTGTGCATCCTTGGTTCCTCGAACATCTTTCTTAATAACAGTTATTCTTCAGGTCTCTTGAGAAGGAGTGTGGCATACCTTACAACCGATTACGCATGTTCTTGACCACGAAAGATGGTTGGGTGGAAGAGTTTCGGTACCCCGGCATGTCTTTGCACAGCTATCGTATAGAAGACGGCGATGTTCTCAACTTGCAGGTGCGGCTTTCTCGTTGTCCGATTACACTTTCTGAGCAAATAGGCGCAGTGTTCGTTGCCATTCATGTGGGCCAGTACTTGAGAAATTGGCGGGAAGCGATAGGGACGCAAGTCGGACTTTGCGAGGATCAAGTGTTTTGCGCATATTGTTGCTGTTGTTCGATTTTTCGCGCGGCATGTAATGTCACCTTTTGCGGGTTATGAGGAGCTGCTTGTGCGCTCGATGGGCCATCGCGGCTCCCGTAATGCAGTCCATTAACCATGCCATGAACAGCCGGCTTGTTGCATTCACGCATGCGACTCACCTGCCCTTCCGCCCTGCGGAAACCGGTTCGTTCTCGACATTCGAACAAGGAGCAC